TTCTGCAGTTCGGAACCAATGAGCTCAATTTCTATGCTATCCCAAGTCCTCTTGAGCGACCAAAACGTGGTCAAGGCCATTCCCGTTCTAGCATGCTGCATCGGCTAAAATCAAACAGTCCAGAGGTGACCAGCTGTCATATCGATGCCCGTGCGACAAGTTCAAAGATTGTACTTAAATATTTGTCTGTGTACCATCTGTTTCAATCTTCATACATGAACAACATGCGCCGCCTTCTTCCATCATAGAAGAAACATCCATCGAACCAATACCCCAAGCCAAAAAAGAGCTCCTTAGTTGGCGGCGCAGTTATGGGGGTTGCCAGTACCGTCGGCCTTCTCCTTGGCTCCAATACCGCAGAACTTGAGATCCTTGGTGTAGTACACACGCATGGGACCAGGACGGTTGGTAGTCCCCTTCTTGGCGTTGAAGTCGTAGCGCTTGCCGTCTGCCAGGACAGGGAGCTCGTAGACGGTGCCGGAGCATCCCGAGGCAAATGTCATCACGTTGCCCCTGTTGTCAAACGGCTTGGGGTACCCGCTGGAGCCCGCGGTGGTCTTGGCTTCGCGGAGGTATCCGATGGATGTGTCGTATTTGACTGTTCCGTACAGGGCGCCGTCGTTCTTGGCTCCTGCTTTGCAGGTGTAGGACTATAGAGAGATCATTAGTTTTGATGCGATTTGGAGATGGTAGGCAGGAGGGATATGAAGTAATTACCTGGCCGGATTGACGAGTCTCAATGGTGCCGTCCTCGCCCAAGAGAGGAGTCGGGCTGGCGATGCTGGCAGTGGCAGCGAGGAGAGTAAGGATGTAAGTGTAGGAAACCATCTTGACAAGTTGGTGTTACTGAAAGTGATTTGCGAAGTGAGTGTGAGAAACGATTGAATGTTTTCAAGTTGTAAATGAGTGTAAGAGGCTTTGAAGTACCGTTGGATGAGGAGTGAGCTTGAGATTTCTTCATTTTGACGGTGCAAGACGACGCTATTTATCCCATGAAGTTGAGCACTTGTTGTTTCTTCTCTCCTAGGCCTCCAAGATGTCTCGAGGGAACTTGTCAGCCATGTTCCCGGTCCAGCCGAGTGAATGTGGTCTATGCTCACAATTCGTTGCGAGTCAGTGATGTATCAATGTACGGCCGCCAATATGATCTGCTTAGGTATATCTCAGAGACCTAATTATATTCTACCCCAACTTTGGCTACAATCGGGACAAAATAAGATGAGCTTCGATGTATCATATAGACCATGAACTCTATCACGATATAGCCTGGGCTTAATATACTCAACTTTTGAACAGACTATGCCAAATCGCTTTCACAACTAGAAATGAACACGACTCTTTGTATCTCTTGCTACCACACATACATGATAAGTCATAAATTCTTCATACGGTATCATGATGCTGGAGGCAAGTCAATACTTGCGTGCATCTCAATCTATGATGGCTAGATGCTGGCATGCAACGGGGCCGAAGTTCTTTTGCAACATCGATGGAGTGAAGGATCCCAAAGTAGCATTCAGCCATCTCAATTCGGGCCTACATATTCCCTGACGAGCTGACTCACACCTTCAAAGCACCAATATGTGAGTGAAAGACAACAAGATCATTTGTGAAAGTTCCCTAATGACTGACAGGTGAGTTACCCTATTCCTACGCCATAATACATCGGTTAAAGGTGCCGAATGAGTCGTTGATTGACTCCGCCGGCCAGCAGCAGGCCATTTTTACGAGACCTTGACACTGCCGATCATGGTACTGTATGTTCGCCGAGTGTTCATGGCTATCTCCACCAAATGTAACCTTGCTGCGAGCGGTTTCATGCCTCCATAGCCGGCTTGAGTGATCCGTTCTATGAGTCTAAAACAACAAACACCGTCTCTGTTTACCAAGTATGCCAAGCTACAAGCAATCATCTCATCAGCCGTAATAGAGTACTCCAGAGCTCGCCTGAAATCCGGAACGAGCGGATGTCTAAGTGTTGATATTGCTTCTAGAAATGTTGCCAATGCAATAGAATGTCAAATAGCTCAAACTTCAACGTCAGCTTGGTAACAAACTTCAGATAGACTAGAAAGCCGGGGTATCTGTAAATCACGATCCAAAGAAAGGCAGAAAAATCGAACGACCTCATTCTTCTGCCTAGAAATCTCCCTCCTTCGGACGATTCGAACAGCACGCTTGGTACGGGACCGGGCATTGCCATCACCCCTTTTATCGACAGCAAGGTTCATAGGATGACCAACTATAGCCAACATACCCCAAACAAACCACCTATTTAGACTTTGCTAAACTCTGGTTGCCTAGCAGAAAACGAGCTCTGGGCGTCTGAAGTTCATGGTGCACCGGCGCCCCGGCACGGGTTGACGGCATGGCGCCGTTTGAGGGGGAAAGGGCGGGGACCCCCCTTTTAGGGCTGTGCAGGGCGCCGACGGGGACGCCGGGCCCCGAAACATGGTCGCCTATCCTGGCGCGCGCTGCGGCCTGGAGGCGCCATCCCTGGGGCCTGAAGAGGCCTGGCGACTTTCCCTTTCCAGAAGCCGGGCTTTTATTTATGGGCTAGGGGGTGAACTCTAATTGGGAGTGTTCGCCGGATGACGGCAGCTTTACTTGAACTACCAAAAGTCGATGCAACTGTCTGTCACCCCGACGCCCAATTGATACATTGTCAAGCAGTAAATTCAACGATATCTGGAAGAAGAAACCGTTTGATACAGCTACATTTTAATCCAGAAAGTAACAAACAGCCCATTGCAAAGTCATCTCGTCTCACAACCAACGATGTCGGCGGTGCAACTTCAACTAGAAGACCCTGGTGCGCCTCCCTTCGCCGCCAGAGTCGTCGAGATACTCAATTCTGCCTTCGACTCGCATAGTGCTATCTCGACCGAGAAGGCCGCCGCGGCAATGAACTCGCTCTTCACTTCAGATTACGAAGAACATGGCACAGCAGGTTCTTTCCTCTGGTGGTTCTGGGATCTCATGCACGACCTAGTCCGTCAGATTCCCTACGACCGGCGTGAGCAAGATCAGCTGGCGGCAGTCATCAAGGCGCTCATCAGTCTTCCACCCAATACGGTCATCCTGGGCGAAGAATGGGGAGGTGCAAGTGACAACTCGGTCGAGGTGTGGAAGAGTCTTCCCATGTTCGCGAATACCTTGAACGAATCGCTCAGTGATGGTAAGATCATACCCCGCTCCTGTGTTCATGCAACTACCTTCAAACGGTCCTACCATCACAAAGCACTTACTGATATGAGACCTCATGACAGGGGATCCAAGAGCTCCGAGTGAAGAAGCACGAAAAGATCGCCAAGTAAACCTGCAAGCATACGCAGCCCGAGTCGCAGGCCTAGGCCTCGTCCCTCTAGAAACAAACGCAATCTGGGCGCTCGTAGATGCTCTAGAAGGCACAATCAAGCCCGTCCGCGCTGCCCCAGACGAGATCGACTCAGATCCAGCCGCCGTAGAGGACATCACACACAAAACACGTATCGCCGCAGCGTGGATGATCCACGCCGGCCACCTCTTACACGGGCGCGACGAGGTGGTGAGCGGGGCGACAGCCGGACCCCTGTGGAAGCTCGATAAGAAGGAAGCTGTGAAGTTGAGGCGCAAGTTCAAAGGGACTGATGGGCTTTGTCCCGAGCGGTGGCAGCTGTGGAAGGAGAGGTTTGCGGTTATTCGGGATGCTGAGGGGCTTGATGAGGGGGCGCGGAGGGATGCTGGTGATGCTTACACGGCAATGGAGAAGATTGAGAAGGGAGTGTAGGTATTAGTTGAAATCCATTGCATGAACGAGGATAAGACATTGCCTTTTTTTTTTAAACCCCCCCAACTCTCTTACCACCCCCAGGGAATATTCTCCCATGCAGTGAAGTAACTCAGCTTCAATATTTGTCTTTGAGAAAGCGTTACCAAAGTCGTCCCTGGGTTTCCCAAAAAGTTCGTAAAAGCCTTTCCGGCTTTAGCTCTTACACACCGAGATCTCACGTATCACATTCCTCATGTTGCCTCCTCGATCCTCCGACAACCTCTCTACCAGGGCCTCCCGATCCTTCGGATCGCTGCCGGGGTAGCCACCTTCCCCATCCCGACTTAGTCTGGTTGCAGGCTTACAGCCAAGACTCTAGGGATCCTTCCTCACCTTCAACCTCTCTTCAAAACGGTTTGATGGATTCAAGCCACGGCCTTGGGTCCTTCTGCTTCTGTTATGGTGGAGGATTTGAAGGATGAGAAAAGATAGTGAACCTGGATGAAGTTGAATTCCTTAGTGTGGGCGTAAGTTTCAATAGCTAGGATGCGTCTGAGGAAAGCAGGTTTTGGAATTCATATAAAACAATGTGCTGATCACCTCAAAGAGCTTGTTGATGTCATTTACAACATCGCCTACCCAATCCTTCAACTCATTTCATCGACCAAACGTAGCCTGATCCGCCAACATTCTGACGAAATCAATAACAAAATGAAGGCCGCCATCTTCCTATCCGCTTTCGCTATCCTCCTCGCCGGCGTCAACGCCATTGCCACGAACGAGAACCAGCACGCCGTAAGGGCACTCGTAAGCACACTCATCTTCATAGAACGAGTCAACTCAATGAATGCTAACCCGTACCTGGTGTAGATTGAGGCTCGCTGCCATTGCGACGGCGCCTGCTGCAATGGCTATTGGTGCACCGACACTGACGTCGGAACTTGCTGTAACGACGTGCCTTGCTAGGTTCTCCGAGGTACCTAGATGGAAGAGAGACGCCAGACCTGCGCTGGGTTTTCGCTGCATTCCCAGTCTTTGGTGTACTTCTAGCTACTAGTATGTACGAAGTATAAACGCTTCTCCAATAACTTAGACAATAAGAACTCAGTCCACGACGTCCTCATATCCTGATGAATTGATGTGCTTCAAGTGACCAACCCTTTCAAATCCTCACAATACGTCCTTAATCGACACAAAGCCTCTCCCTATCACTGCTTATACCATCTGGGATGACGTCCGATTTCATAGCCTACCCTATGGTAATATTCCCAGGAAGCCCAACACTCCTCCCATCATAAGCCAATCTCCACCTCCCACTCTCCCAAACATCCCAATCCCCCGCCCTCCCAGCATCCCCATTCAACCTCAACGCCCTGACCCTCCAAAAATACGCACCAGGCGGCACATACTTCCTATCCTCCTCCGATCCATCCCAAACCCACCAGCTCGAGGGCGCAGCCCAATTCTCCGCACTGCCCCTAAACGTCCCGGCCAATACATCCTCGCCCGTCTCGGCGCTGACAAGATCGTAGGTATACTCCCGGCTCGCAGTGACAAACACCTTGCGGAACCCGGGAAAGCCGAGGTCGCAGGTGACAGGCCACGCCGGCTTGGGGATGGTTCCGTTGAAGAGGCATGTGAAGAGGGTATCGGGCGGTACTTCCGTGTCGAGATTAGTCGAGGGGTCAACTTTGACGAGGTGCGATGCGTTGGGGTTGATCATCGGGATATCGACCAACGGTGTGCCGAAGCCGCTGTATGGAATCGTGAGCGTATTCGCCTCAGATGCAGAGGACACGATCTCAATGAAGCCTCCGAAGAAAATACCCCTAGACGTCGCAGGGAGCGCTGGATTGGATCGGACGGATACCGAGATAGTTGTAGATCCGCCCGGAGCAAGTTCCACCTCTGCCGGGGATATATCCACATCCGCATACACCGGATACCCTTCCGCACCAGTCAAGCCGTACGGATCCGTCTCGCTCAGGATATACCCCGACGCCGCGCCCAGATGTCTCAACTTATACTTCAACGTCTCCGTCCCCGTATTCTTTAAGCTGAGGGTCAGCGCCTCCGGCCGACGCGTCGTATCATTGAAGTCCAAACTCGAAATATTCACCAATGAGACGGTGTGAACAGCATCCCACGCGTCAACAAGTCCACCACCCTGACTGAACACCGGCGCCAGAAACTCCTTCTTCTGCCTCGCATCATCAATGAACCGCACCGGCTTCGCAGTCGATGTCACCACCGCGAGAATCTGCTGCGGATCGTAGTCCGGATGCCGTTCCTTCACCAGGGCGTACACGCCCACGGCAAACGGATTCGACATGCTCGTCCCGCCGACAACAGCCACGCCGCCATACCTCGGCAGGAACGTACTGAGGATATTCTCTCCCGGCGCGATGAAGGACGGGTAACTCTTTCCTTCGGGCGTGGGACCCCAGCTAGAGAACCCGGAGACGAGACCACTCGAAATATCATTGTCTCGGTAGAGTACCTCCTCATGCGCCTCAGAGATGTTCGAGGGGACGGAGATCCGTACAGAGGAGCCGTTGGAAAGTAGGCTCGCGAGGAAAAGCCCATCCTCGTTGGAGATCCGAGCAATGCCCTTGTAATTCCTGGAATATTCAGCAAACCCAGGCCGCCACTGCATCCCATCGACGACTGAGGCCGACGAAGGCTGATACCGCAACACGTACGGAATCCCCAACCCAAGCGCGAGCCGGGTTGACGTGTTCCCAGGACTCAACCAGCAATGATCTTCCTCAATGAGCATAATGGTATTCGCCGGGTCGGCAGGAGGGACAAAGCCCCCCGGCGCGGGGTTACACCCCTCCGGCAACCCTTCCGCAGAGCCAGGACTCCATAGAGTGAGGTTATTCCCGGCAGGAAAGTTGGCAGGAAACTGTGGCGCGTAACGAACGAAACCGGCATCATCGCCAGATGTGAAGTTGGCTCGCCACGTGTAATACGGCGTCGCAGAATTATCCGCCGACCCGATCGCCGCAGCACCACGGGCGTTGGCGGGTGATATGCCCGTGAACAAGCCCGGCCCGCCATTCCCAGACGCAACCGTCACCGCCGTTCCATTCGCAACGGCTTGGCTGACCAAACGAGCAACGGGCTCTAGTAGATGATCCAAACGTTGTCAGCTTCGGCATATCTCAGAACCCGGGAAGATTCTTGTGAAACGTTGTGAACTTACCCTCTTCAAAAGCAAGCCCAATTCCATACCCAATCATTATAAGATCAACATCCCTGCTACTGGCATTTTCAATGGCAGCCATCAAATTATCCAACCCACTCGGCGCAGCACCTTCACACGGGTCAAGTCCATACAGTTCAACCGTCACATTCGGCGCCACGCCTACTACCCCAAACTCTCTTTCCTCGCTCTCGGCGGCAATGATACCCAGAACATGCGTTCCGTGCAAGAAGTTAATGCAATTGTCGCCTGTAAAGTTGAAGGCATCCTCGACGTAGTTGTAGTTATACGCCACTCGCGTCTGAGAGAGCCCAGGAGAGGCAAGGTCAAAGCCCGTGTCGATTACCGCGATGCGCATGCCGGTGCCGAGGGTGCCTTCGGCGTGGAGGCGGGATACACCTGTGTCGTTGTGTGTTGGAAGGGTGAGTGATTGATACAATTCAGAGCTAGGGGATGCGGTGGTTTGTCGTTTTGCTTTGTGTGATGTTTCTCCCAGAAGAGCTGCATGTTGTTGGGGTCGCTGTTGTGGGTGTTGAGGCGTTTCATGACTCCACGAGGCGAGAGAAGCCTTCTCCACGAAGTCTAAGGACTGGATTATAGGCAGTACTTTGCTCCGGACTACTTCCCTATCTCCCTCGCAGGACAAGCTGAACGAGAGGCCTCGAAAGGACGGGGAGTTGAAGGTGTGACGGCGGGTAAATATGCATAGGTAGTCGAACATGCGTTGTTCTATAGTATCGAAAACAACGTCTGAACTCTAGAAAGGCAGGTCAGCCTTGTGGTACAACGAATTTGGTGCATTTTATATTGTATGAAATACCTGGTGACTGTCTTCAGTCAACTCTACCACAATGATGCTCGGGGCCTTGTTGGTAATAGTAGTTTGCTCTACGATGGCCAGCGCAAAGGCCACCGCGAGGTGAAGCAAGATGAGTAAGAACCTCATATTCGGAACCAGTGACTGAAGCAGTATGAAGAGAGGCAGAGCCCTTTGTAGATTAGGTAGTCGATGAAGCTTCTTTTGTAGTTCGCTCGATATAAAAAGTCGTGGGTAGAGTGAGGACGAAGTTGCGAAATACCCCACGCGTCCCGCGGACGCTATGTAAAACCCCCTGACTGCCGAGAAAACCATCAAAACTCTATGAAGAAGATTAATTGAAAGCAACATGGATATGCAACTCCTGAGAGATTGTGTCTGGATAATACGGGCTTTTCAAGGCTCCGTCTACGTAGGGACGTAGGTGGGACACTACAAGGGGTGATCAGGGGATTGGCTACTACGTAGCAGCGGATTTGAGTGATAATATTGAGCCAAACTTTGATGCAGCAATGATAGATAAAGATAATATTTGTGCCAGTCTTTGGCGTTGGCAGGCTACGCTGTAATATGAAGTGGTAAACCGAAAAGTGATCTAATGGAGAAATCCAACGCTTGCTCTATCGATTTCTTTGTGCAGCAACAATTCTGATACCTGAGGTATGTGTCGTAACCCATTCGATAAATGGGATCAGTCTCAAAAGGAAGTCTCAAAAGGAAGTCTGTAATGACAGACACTATGTCGTCTTTCTTGTAGTCGTATGGATCAGTCCGACTCGGCCGAAGCCTCTGGCTGGACCCGCTCCTCCGACAGCTTCGGGTTTCTCAACGCAAAAGCAAAGCCAACCATAGGCACGCAGATGCACAGTCCAGCAATGCACAGAAGCCTCTGCACACCACGATAGCTGTCAATGATTGCGTCTCTGATCTCTCCGCCAACTGGGTAATCTTCGATGGTGGAAAATGGCGAATTGTAGACCAGCGCCGCCAGGGTTTTGTTCGACTGGAACTCGAGGTTAGACTCGAGAGAGGGGTAGAGGAGTTGCGTCCACATGGCTCCCGACAGACAGTTTCCGAGGGCGCTTCCGACGTTGAAGATGGCGAGGTAGAGACTCGTAACGACGGCAACGTGCTCCCGATCGGACGACGCTTGGATGGAGGCCTGTGTTGGGTACGCAAACAGACCACCCGCCAAACCCATAATGATTTGGCCGGCAATAAGACCAGACTGTGAAGCAGAAGAAGCTCCTCCGGGGTATAATATGAGAAGACCAAAGGAGGCCGTGAAAATGCAAGCGCCAGTGATGATGATGCCCTTAAGTCTTCGAATCCTATAAATGACGACGCCCATCAAGACACCGCTGAAAACGCCAAAGAAGGAGAAGAATGACAAGATGCGGGTGGCCGTCTCGATAGGAAAGTCGAAGGCCACGACAAGAACGGTGTATAAATAGTTCCCCTGCGTCGACCAAGCAAAGTTGAGAAGACTGCGGACGGCCAGGGCTGACCAGACACCACGATCTTTGAGGAGGCGGAAGGGGATGAGTGGAACTTGGGCGTAGCGGCGCTCCCAGAAGATGAAGGCCGGAATGCAAAGCAGCCCAAAGGCGAGCGGAATGATGATTCCCGGGCTCTTCCAGTGGCTCACAGTTCCTCCCGCCAGAGTCAGAGGTGCCAGGGTGAAGGAGAATGCGGCAATGAGAATAGCAAGGCCGACGGCATCGAGTTGATGGAAGAGGTCAATGGTGGCCTTCTTCGACTCGGCATGACGATCAGCCTTTCGCGAGCGCTGGCCAAAGGTGTAGAGGCTAGTGAGGAGCGGGACGGAGCAGATGGGCAGGATGATAGCCCACATTCCAATGCCCCAGCGCCATGATGTGACTCTCAAGACGGCCGAGGTGACGTTGCCGCTGATCCAGGTGTTGAACACGAAGGGAATAGCGGGGATGTAACTGAAGAAGACCCGAGATCGCATCGACGAGAAGTCGGCCACGAGGACCTCTAGAAGGAGGACGATGCATGTCCAGCCAATCTGGTACAGAACGGCACCGAGGCAGAAGACTTCCACCGAAGACGCACTGGCCTCGAGGGCGGTCCCGACGACATAGAATAGGATCGAGGCGGCGATGGTCTCGAAGCGGCCGTAAATATCGGCGACCTTGGCCGCAGTGGGCTGCGATGCCACAGCGATAACACTTCGCAGCACGTTGATAGTTGAATGGGATGAGTGTAGGTTGAGGCTTGACGTGGCGTAGGGCTGGTATGTTCCCCGCACCTGGCTGTCGAGACCATAGGCGTAGCCGACCAGGAATATCCCGACAAAAAGCCAGACGCGCTCGGCACTGCTGATCTGGTTCGCGACGGTATCGGAGTGTGCGACGCCGCCCGAGGGCGCATCATGAGAGTGGAGGGTTGCGTCGGCTTGGCTCGGTGCTTCGACAGTGAGGTCGGACTCGAGGAGCGGCGAGGTCTCGCCGCCCGGGGAAGGGCGGCGCTTCGACCATAGTTTCGACATATCTCTGTCGGTTGTTGTTCTCCCTTGCGTTGTTCCTTTTTGGCGAAAACCTTATGTCTCGGTACTTCTGGGACGCGCGCCGCGGGCGGAGATGAGGTAAGGGACTAGAGGTCTGGGCAACCTCTTTGCGTGATGTCTCGTTAACAAACGTCCCCGTGCAGCACACCGAGTTCAACGATGGATGGAAGCTCGCGACCGTAGCATGCGCAGTCATCGGCGGGACTAGGAGGAAAGATTCTTCTCGGCTGTGTATCCGTATCGAGAGCCTGCTCAGGGGGGGTCCAGTCAGCAGGGGTTATTTGCGTAGGTAGTACACAGGTAAGTTGAGAAAGATGGTGGTTACTTGGGGTCTTCGTACCTTTGCGAGTTCAGAGATTCGCAGCTGGATGGGCAACTGGGCCGCAGAGGTCCATGGGAAATGATGCAGAAGCGACGTTTGGCAGCAGCCCTACCCGGCGGCCATGATGTGAAAAGATGTGCAGGCAAACAGGAAGGATTTCAGTCAACCACCCACAGCTGGCATTCTGACACCCCGGGCCTCATGATCAGGGGACCAACGAATGCTCTGTCAGCAGGCTATGCAGGCGTGGCAGTCGCGGGTGGGCAGCACGGCAGGCGAGGACCGGAGCCTGAGGTGGACGTGGACGGGGAAGGTGACAACACACAAGTCCCTCCTTCCTTCCTTCCAGGTTTTAGGTACCTGGCTGCACCTGCCTACCTTACCTTTTGGTGCCTTCCTGAGGTGACCGATCAGATTAGATCATCTGATAAAGAAGGCGCCCCACCAGCACCGTGGCCAATCACGCAATTCGGGATCGTCCGCTGCCCGCCGTAAGCGCCGATTTAATCCGCGGCCTTCTGCATTCTTGGAACACAACATACAGTGGCGTAAAGTCAAAGTTGAAGAGTGTTTGTTGTCTTTCTAAAGATCAGTACTTGATAACGCCATGTCGGTGGTATCTCATTGCAGATAGTAAATCAGTGTCTCTAGAAAGCAGGGCAATGGGTATCACTTTCTCTGCTGAGACTCGCTCGTCATTCGTCATGATGCCCCGCTAAAATGTCAGCTCGGCCAGAACCTCGGATTTTCGGCACATGACTCCTTAGCCCGACCTCTCTCGGCGAAGCTAGAGCATTACATGTCATCCGGTGTACATGGCGCTCCGGGCAGGGTGATGATACTGCACGTGAATGAGGTGAATTTTCTACACAAAGACGATGCAAGAGGTACCTCTCGAGCTTCACCGAGAAAGGAACAGAAACCCAACTTTAAGTGTTCCCTTCTCCAGATGCCCACAACGGGCGGGAAGCAAGCATTAGGGGTCTTCGGATGGCACCGAGACATCTGCGCGCCCACTGCTGATTGGCGCTTTGACTCCGCCGTTACGCTAATTGGACTTTGTCCCAAGCCCCGATGCCCCAAAGCCCACAACTGCAACGACGCTATTACGCACGATGAGATCCTTTGAAGGTGGTTCTACATACACAGTTCATCCATCAGAAGTGCTCAGATAGGTACAGTGAGTTGGAGGCCGGAAAGTCTACTCTAAGTATCCGTCAGATAGATTAGAGATGCCCGCGATGCAGCAGACATTGAATTCTGTAAGCAGCTCCCAGCAGACTGCAATATACCCTACCAATCATCCACGTCGCCAAGACAATTTTCCGGTCTTCTCTGCGCCAAGTCCCTGCCTGGTGAAAAAAGAGCGTACGATAGACCTTGTTTGACGCAAAGAGCAACAGGGTCTGGTTTATCTCTGATATTCGGTAAGTACGCTTGAATCTCAACTGCATGTTGTCGGGCAACCTTGGCTGCACCCCAGAACTATATAAGTCACCAGTGCGATATTGGGATGATAGAGACGATTACTGGCCCATTGAAATTCGGTAGTCTGTTATGAATAGTTGAAATATCTATTTTATTTGACTTTATTTGACTTTATTTTGACCAAGCTGCATCCTCTTGTAGCGAGCTGCCTCAACTGCACCTCACCTTTATGCCGCACCGCCGCGACCGCCAACACCAAACTGTGCCTGAGCCTCAGCAACTCCCGCCGGAATCGGCGGCAGCTCGCGTCCACGGCCCGTGGGCAGCGGCATGAACTTGGTCTCGGCCAAGAACCGCAGGTACCGTCCAATATCCTCGCGGGTAATACCCTCACCCGCACTGTCGTCAACCCCAGTCCAGCGCTCAGCATCAGCCTTGAGCACAGCAACGGCATTTCTGTCATCGAGCTCGGGTGCGCGCGTCGTCGAGGGCAGGTCAGACGTAGCCATGTGGAACAGCGGCATCAACGCGCTCTGCTCCTGATCTTTCTCGACGGCACCGGCCGACACAAACTCCTCGAGCTGCGTCTTCCACTCCTCGTAGTCGACCTCGGGGACGTCGTAACCGTAGTAGCTCAGCGTCGAGAGGAACTCGTTCATGCGGAGGCGCGGGTGCGCCGTCACGTGGACGACGTTGACGCCAGGAAGGGGGTTGAGTCCAGCAGCGATGACGACACGAGCGACGTGGTCTACAGGCACAGCATTGACTGAGTTGACGATGCGAGGGCGGGCCTTGAGCTGGACGCAACCCTTGCACAGTCTGATGAGGAAATCATCCGTATTGGAAACACCGCCATGGCGGCTACCGAGGATGTATCCTGGGCGGATGACGGCGCCGCGGAGGCCACGCTTACCGGCTTCGCGAACCAGTTGCTCAGAGACCTGCAGAATAGTTAGCTTCATTTTGCCGATTCAGTCACGTTAGATCAACATACCCATTTGGTCTGGCCGTAACCAGTACCGAGACCAGTGCGGCTGCCCTGCAAGTCATCCTCTTCAAGGACCGCTCCGCGACCGGTTGCCGTCTCCTTGTCAGAAAGGTTGACGTAGTGCTCAGTGTCCAGCGTCGAGGTCGATGACACAAACGACAAGATCTTGGGCTTGCCTTCGTTGCAAAGTTTCATCGCGTCAATGGTAGACAGGACGTTGCTGCGCATCATCTGCTCGTAGCGCGCAATCCAGTGCACGTACGCCGCGTTGTGAACAATCACGTCCGCGGTATCGGCGACTTGCTTCCAGCTGGCATCGTCCAGGCCGAGACGGGGCTTGGACAGGTCACCAAGGACACAGTCAATCCTGTCGGCCCATGAATCCTGCCACAAGGCGTAGCCCTTGAGTGATCTCGTAAGGCGCTCCTTGGCGGCAGAGGTATCCTTGACACCGCGGATGTGCACGAGGAGCTTGGTGTTTTGTCTGCTAAGGATGTCCTGGACCAGGTACGCGCCCAAGAAACCAGTAGCACCAGTGAGGAAGAACGTCGCGCCAGCCGATGGGCTCAAGGCCGCAGGGTCGGCGCTCTGGTACTTGGCATCAAGTGTGTTGATAAGCTCGTCAAGCGACTTGGCGTACACGGCTTCGGCGGCCTTGTCCACTGCGGGTGCCTGGCCGCTCTTGAGGCGGTCAATCTGGGTGCTCAACGCACTAAGGGTAGGGTTGGCATAAAGGACACCAATGGTGATGTCGACGCCCAAGTTCTTGCGGATGTTGAGGAGGAGCTGCTGAGCCAGAAGACTGTGCCCACCACAGTCAAAGAAGTCCGACTCGGACCTGGAAATGGGTTAGCTTCGATTTTCTCTACAACGTGGTCGATTATTTGATCCACTTACTTGATCGTCTTCTCGTTCAGACCCTTGATCAGAGTAGCCCACTGCGCAGCAACGGTCTTTTCCGTCTCAGACAGGGCTTCCCAGCTCTTGAGGTCCTCTTCGGAGGCATCCTCCATCATCTCGGTGGTATCGGGGAAAGGCAGAGCCGGGGTATCCACCTTGCCGTTGGGGTTGAGAGGGAGCTTCTGCAACACAATATACGTGGAGGGCACCGCGTAGACTGGCAGACGAGCCTTGAGGTGGTCTCGCACCTCGGCCTGAATCCTGCGGAATCTCTTGAGGTATACCACGCTCGATCCCATCTCAACGCCCTCGTCTTCGACATCCTCCTGGTTCTGAGCCTCCAACCAGCGCTTCCACTCTGCGATCTCAGGCACAATGTAGCTGACAAGATTCGGCTCCTCGTTACGATCTCTGCGAACGAGAGTCTTGCAGTCTCTGATGAGCGGGCTTCCTCCCAGGTTGGCATCGATCTCGTTCAGCTCGATACGGAACCCACGGATCTTGACTTGCGAATCGATACGGCCAGACACCTGCACAGCTCCCGAAGGGAGGTACTGACCAAGGTCTCCTGTGCGGTACAATCTGTCGCGGGGACCCTTGTAGTATTGACGCCACGGCTCGCCCTTTGCGCTAGCCTTGTCGGCTTCCACCCACTTGGCGTTGTCAACGAACCAGTTCTCAATGAACTTCTCCTTGTTCTTCTCTGGCTCGCCGAGGTAACCCTCAGCCAAACCGGCCGCTCTGATGTACAGCTCGCCGACCTCACCGACGCCGCACATCTTGTTGTGGTCATCCCGAGAAACCACAAGGACTTGAACATTGTGCATTCCCCAACCTGCGGGAACAACATCACCAAGCGAGTCGAGAGCTGTCGGGTCGGCCTCGGCGGAGGGGATCTCGAAGTAAGACACCGCTCTGCTGGTCTCGGTGGTGCCGTACATGTTAACGATGGCGCATGAGGGGCCCAGCTTGCGAAGCACCTTGCAGTCGCGAGTGGTGAGGATATCGCCAACGAAGAAGACGTGCTTCAGGGAAGGGAACTTCGCGGTGGCTCCACCAACCAGAATCTGTCCCATGGCAGGTGTGAGATGAGTTACAGTCGGTGACCAGGCGTTCATCCACTCGCTCAACTTCTCGTGCTGGATATCTTCCTTGGCAGGGATGAGAAGCTGAGCGCCGAGGAACAGAGGCGTCATGATGTCTGAACCATCAAGTCAGCATGGGTGTCAAGATCTGGGGCCAGGGTCCATTATTACCTCGCTGAATGGGGTCGTGAGCGATACCAGACAGGCAGGCGAAGACGCTTTCAGATGAGAGGCTGAAACGCTCTGCCATCCAGGGGAAATATCTTGTCAAGCCGTAATGACGTCCCAGCACAGCCTTGGGCTTTCCCTCGCTACCGGATGTATAGCTAAGGGTGGGGTTGGAATCGGGACCGACGATGACGTCGGGAAGAGACGAGGCCTTGGCTCTTACGCTGGCGAACAGATCTTCGGTGTCTTGCTCGCCACTAGACAGCACGCCGGCGTCACTGAGGCGGAGATTCGGGAGCTGTGTCTTGAGGGACAGTTCCTCGTCGATGTATTTCTGTACTACAGGAGCAAGAGGACTAGACATTATAGGTCAGTGAAATGCAAAATAAAGATGAGACACGCTGCAAGGCGGTCAGCAGAACGGTAGATACGTACCCATTCTCGTCTACGGCCTTGCCAATAGAAATCAGAGCCTTGGGTTGGGAAACCTCCAGATAAACTAATCAAGTCAGCAAGATCACCTGTGAAATTGGACATAGTACTTACTCTGTTGTCTCTGAGGAGGGTAGAGAGGATCAAGCACTGTTACTGTGGCTCCAGCAGCCTATCAACGTGAGTCAGCGCGCGCAGCTTGAGCGGGAGACTGGCGAGCCATACAAGAGTTCCCATGAACGCGCAGACCAGCTCAACTGACCGGTGAGCAAAGATCATTACAACGTCTCCATTGGTAATTCCAGCATCGTGCAAGTGGTTGGCAATTGTATTGGACGCCTCGCTGATTTGGCGGTATGTGAATGT